TAGGTGACGCCAAATACGCATAAAACGAGTGTGCCATGAAATACGTCATGCAATGCGTGTTGTAAAGATCGCAAGTAAAAACTAAAGAGAAAGAAAAGCTTACAGCTGCATGAGTCGTGACGGTCACGTTAGCCTGATGGGACCAAACTCTCTTTGTGATTTTAAAACGTAAGACAGTACCCAGACTTGAAGACTACAGTAAGATTGAACTTCTACTGTTAATAAGATTTTGGTGGGCTACTATTAGATGGATAGCCTAAATGTCCTAATTCAGATGGGCTAGCGTTTTTTTTTTTATGTGATTGTTGGTACCTTTTACCAGTTTTTACCATACTTTCAAAACAAAAATTAAAATAGGAAAAATATGCAATATGAAAATAATTGAAGACAAAATGTGTTTTACTGAGAAAAAACACGATTTGGTTTTTAAAAAGCCTTTTTCCAAAAGCTACATCTGGAAAAAGGGGGGCCGTCTTATATTCGGGCTAATACGGTATATATATATATATATATATTTTTTTTAATTTAAAATGGAGTGACACTAAGTGACCCTACGATAAATCTGATTTTATGATTTAATAGTTTAATATTTAATATGGTAAAGAAAATGATCTGTTCTGTACAACCAGATGTACACTAAAATCACAGGTAACCTCAAAAACATTGAATGCATTAAGCAAGGGGGTTATGTACTGGTAGACATGATTAACCCGGTAGAGATTTGTCAGCCGGTATAGATTATGGATAATCGTCTCGGTTACATGCTCACATGACGTTGCTGTGCTATGTGGTTGCGAAAACTTCGTTTGCATGTGTTTTGAAGCATTGAGGTTTAAAAACAAGTGATTTTAAGCTATTGAAACTTAATCAGCAGCGAAAGAGAACTCATTCGCTATATGCGCGCTGTCAGAGAGACAGATGGTGCTCATAGAGCGCAGGAGTATTTAGCCACTTTATAAGCCTTTAACGGTTAAATACACACACTTGTAAGTGTCAGAATGCCCGTATTTGCAAGTATCCTCATAAACGCAGTAATTTAGGTCTTAAGTGAAAGCAAACAGCTGAGAAAGAAAACACGTATAACAGTATATTGGATCTGGGCAGCTCTTAAAGCAACAGCAGTGTCTGTCCTTCATGTTAAACAAACAACAAAAGAGAGAAAATCTCTCACTGCTCTTGACTAAATCACTTTTGTTACTTTAATAAGAAGAAATATATATTTAATTTACACAATGAAGAATATGCAGTGTTTTTATTCATTTGATTACTTTATACAATGTATGTAGCATTCCTTATTTATTTGTTCTACTGTAGTTTTTTGTCATTGTTCTGTTTTTAATCGCTGACTGTTTACATGTCTTCAGTGAGCTTGAGTTTATTTATTTTTTAATTTAGGCTTGTATTCGTTTTTGTGATATTGACACTGGTGACAAAAATTATGAAATTGCTATGGTATCAACAATTTTGATAAAGACCTTATTTAAAACAAAAATAACTATATTGTGATATATATCGTTACAGTGAAATAAAATGACTCGTATCGTGATATAAGATTTTGGTCATATCACCCAACCCTAGCATTAAGCTAGAATGACTTCTATAGCTTTTAAATTAAAGTGATGGTAAGTGACCCTACAATAAGTCTTATTTTATAATTTAACCTAATAGTTTAATATTTAAAATGTAACCCAACTGATCAGTTCTAAATATAAATTTTGCTGGATTTACTCAAAGATTTCACTGTGTGTGGATTTTAATGCGTGCATCCTCTGTGTGAATGAGAGGGAATGTCTGTACAGGAGAGAAAGCGTGGAAAGTCCTTATATGGAGATGTTTGGGTGTATCTTATGCTAATTATTAACTGCTGGCACATGCTTCTATATTTAGAATAATGGATTGATCAACATCAGAATGAGGGTAAAATCTACATGTTTGAACGCCTGCTGAATGCACACATGACAACACTTGTACACAATAGTAGTCAATGAGACTGGTGAGTGTGTTTATTGGTGAGAATTGGTGTTAGCAGACACACAGGTCTTAACTCAAAGTGTTCTTGTTATTTCTGAAGGTGGGAGATAAAGATGTGGACAGTTATCAGGTAATGACTTTTCAGCCTTTTTAAATATGTAAACAATGTTTATGATATGTCTATTGTTGTCACTGTCGTTCATCAGGGCGGGACAAGTTGCTGAATATTGAGTAGACATTGAGATATAAAAATGTAAATGTGGATGGTCATATGTTAATTAACCCATTCTGAATGATTGTATTTATATACACTATTGTTCATTATGCATTCATTTAATTAAGAGTGACAGTAAAGACAAGTATAATGTTATTTATAGAAAGATTTCGATTTCAAATAAATGCTGTATTTTATTTTTTACTTTCTGTGCATCAAAGAATCTTGGAAAAAATGTATCATGGTTTCTACAAAAATATGAAAGAGCTTCTGCATGTTTGTACCTGTAGGAGGTTGATCTGGAGAGACTGAGGGCCCGGTGGCTCACGGCTCTGACTGAACGACAGGAATATCTGGACCAACGTCTCCAAAAACTCGTCAGCAAGCAAGGTAAGATGAGATTTAGATTAACCGTATTATGGGCTGATGAAAAAATCAAATGTGTTTTTCAGTGGAATAGACTGACATCTTTGGTGAAAGTGAGAAAAGTGTTTGACTTTCTGGCACATACAGATAAGTCAGAAGAGGATGTGGAGAGCGAGTCGCAGCTGCTGGAGTGTCGTCTGACGCTGACAGAGGAGAGAAACGCTGTGCTGGTGCCCTCTGCTGGCAGCGGTATCCCAGGAGCCCCGGCGGAGTGGTATGTGACAATATACGTCGTTCCTCTCAAACAATCATAGAACTAGCCTTATCTAACCATAACCAACTCCTAAATCCCCCAATCTGCTTGTTTTTGTCCTCTTTTGTGAATTCAGTTTAGTGAATTCTTCACATGAGCTTTATTTTTACTGTCTGGCTCCTGTTCCTGCAGGGTTCCTGTGCCAGGAATGGAGACCCACATCCCAGTCATCTTCCTGGACCTCAGCGGTAAATATTTACCGTGTTCCAAATCCTGGTGCGCTGCCTGGATGCTTACTTCCTACATAGGCAGCTGCATACTAAGGGAGCATCATAACTGAAATAGACCTCACGAGTGAATGATTTGGAACATGAACAGAAATATCACTTAAAATGGTCAATTTTAATTAAATTTAACTGTCTTTATTGCCAATTAAAAAAAGCTAATAATAAATGCAAAGTTAAAACATTTTAAAATAAAAGCAATCAAAATAAAACGCATACAATTTTAGTTATTTTAGTATTTTATACTATTTAATTTTTATTAATATGAATTGACTTATCTTTTTTATTTTATAAAATTTTATTATGTGCTTTTTGGCATTTTTATTAGTTTTTGTTTTATTAATATTACTTTTTGTGTTTTTGTTCAGTTTTTGGTTTTATTTATTTTCAGTTAGTTGCTAAGGAAACATGTCTAATTTTAGTTTGTTTTTCATGTATTATTTGTATTTTATTTTATTTCAGCTTTATTAAGATAAAGCTGATTTTTTTTGGTAACACAATCTAATATACAGTATATAAAATACATACATAAAATAAAAACAATCCAAATAAAACGGGTTTAAAAAAAAAAAAAAAGCTGAAATGTTTGTGTTGCTAAATTATTGAAATATTAACTTAAAATTTTAGTGGGAATAAATATCTTACATTTGGTTAAGATGACAAAAAAAATGTTTTGGGGGAATCCCTGTCGTATGACTTATTTCTGATCAACATTTCTCTCTTCTGTCTGTCTACAGCTGATGATTTCCATGATCATCTGTCCGCTCCTCTAGCTGGAGGTCTGGATGCTGCGCTCGACAGAGAAGATAAAGATGATTTCATGGACTTACAGATAGTCAAACACTATGAGAATGAGGTGAGGAGACAGTATTTTGCTATCGGTAAAAAAAGATAACTGCACCAGGATATTCCACATTACATGAAGTTGTCTCTCTTCCCACAGGTGAAGGCAGAGGCATCATGGGACTGCACCGTTCATGACAGCCCTGAGCTGAATCGAGCGACGGGGCCGGATCAGAGGATTTACCTCAGTGTCCGCACCATCGTTCTGCTCAGTCATCCCGCACAAATGCAGCTGGTGCTACGCAAGCGCATCTGCGTGAACCTCACCGGACGACAGGTGTGACCGATGAAGTTACTTTTGTGTTTTTTATTGAGTGCTCTTTTATTGATCGGATCTCTTCCTGCAGGGTTTTGCTCAAAGTCTGCTGAGGAGAATGTCTCACCGCAGCTCAGTTCACAGCTGTGGAGTCGCATTTGAGATAGTCTCAAATATCCCAGGGGTACGTGAAGAGCAACATGATCTATTCTTGTTTAGGCATGCAGTTCTTGAGTTGCAATGTGAATTTGGATACTATACACTAGGGTTCAGAAGTTTGGGGTTTGCAAGATTTTTTTATGTTTTTGAAAGAAGTCTCTTATGCACACCAGGACTGCATTTATTTGATCAAAAATGTGATAAAAAAAAGAGTAACATTGTGAAATATTATTACAATTGCTTTCTATTTGAATATATTTAAAATGTAATTTATTTCTGTGATCAAAGCTGAATTTTCAGCATCAGTACTCCAGTCTTCAGCGTCACATGATCCTTCAGAAATCATTCTAATATGCAAGAAACATTTCTGATTATTACCAATGTTGGTTCTTTGATGAGTAGAAAGTTCAAAAACAACAATTGTTTGAAATAGAAATCTTTTGTAACATTATACATGTCTTTACTGTCACTTTTGATAAATTCAATGCATCCTTGCTGTATAAAAGTACTGATTTACCTAAATTTTGAATGGCACTGTACAAACAGTAAGTCTGTGAGAAGCAGGTAACAGAAACAGGTGTGTGCATTTGTTTGACAGGACATTCAGAGATTTGAGGACAGAGAGATGCTCGCCCGACTGGCTGCCAGCACCGACAACCCAGGAGCGGAAAGTGAAGCAGCCATCGAGAAATACCTGCGGAGTGTGTTAGCGGTGGACAACATCCTCACGCTGGACCGTCTCAGACAGGTCTGACATACTTCATGATTTCCTGTATCTACTTTATATATGCCAAATAATAAGAATATAAATGCTGTTTTTTGCTATATACACTTACATGTGTCATCTTTGTATTTTTTTTGTGAATTCAGGAGGTTTCTGTGAGGGAACATCTGACAGATAAAGGAAAGATTCCCAAACGCTGCCTCAGTTCACCCAATGTACACCGGGTAAGACATGAACAACATCTCTGAGAAAAATTAATCTAAATCAGCTTAAAATTAAACCAGAAATGAAATATAAGCTGTTTATTTTTCAGCTCTCTGGCAGTAGGAAAGATCTGTCCAGCAGCCAAGACTCAGAAGACAATAAAGTAAGAAAAAGCACCTTAAATAGTGGCATAACAGTTCAGATTTCCAATAGTTTGGTTTGTGTGACAGTTCAGTACATGCGTAGTATGCCACTGTTTTGGGAAACTACTAATAGCAAGCAGTGATTTGTTACTGTGATACAATCCTTCACTCGGTAACATCCAGGATACTCGTATTTGTACAGTATTTGCGTCTTTGTTTCATTTTCAGGTTCATTTGATTACTTATTTACTGTCCATCCAGATGTTCAGCGTGTTTACTGATGGTTTGTGTCCGTGCTTTGACATTCTGTAGAGTGGTTGGGACAGTCGGCAGGAGATTTCTATGCTAACATCAGCCACAAAGAGTCCATCTCACTCAGCGTCAGTACAAAATCAAAACTCGGAGCCAGGTAACTGTCCTCATCCTCTCCTGCTGTCCACGTTTCCCTTCACAGGTGAGACAGAGCTTGCATTACCTGTTTGACTTTACTCCAGAGTTTGGCTGTCTTACATGCCAACAGCAATAAACCAGCAAAAACAGCAGAACACCTTTGCAACCATACAGAAGACATGATCAAGCACTTAGAACAACTTCGCAACACCTTAGCAACCATACAGAACACTCATTATAACAACATGATAAAAATCCTCAAAACACCTTAGCAACCATACAGGACACTCATTATAGCAACATGATAAAAATCCTCAAAACACCTTAGCAACCATACAGGACACTCATTATAGCAACATGATAAAAATCCTCAAAACACCTTAGCAACCATACAGGACACTCATTATAGCAACATGATAAAAATCCTCAAAACACCTTAGCAACCATACAGGACACTCATTATAGCAACATGATAAAAATCCTCAAAACACCTTAGCAACCATACAGGACACTCATTATAGCAACATGATAAAAATCCTCAAAACACCTTAGCAACCATACAGGACACTCATTATAGCAACATGATAAAAATCCTCAAAACACCTTAGCAACCATACAGGACACTCATTATAGCAACATGATAAAAATCCTCAAAACACCTTAGCAACCATACAGGACACTCATTATAGCAACATGATAAAAATCCTCAAAACACCTTAGCAACCATACAGGACACTCATTATAGCAACATGATAAAAATCCTCAAAACACCTTAGCAACCATACAGGACACTCATTATAGCAACATGATAAAAATCCTCAAAACACCTTAGCAACCATACAGGACACTCATTATAGCAACATGATAAAAATCCTCAAAACACCTTAGCAACCATACAGGACACTCATTATAGCAACATGATAAAAATCCTCAAAACACCTTAGCAACCATACAGGACACTCATTATAGCAACATGATAAAAATCCTCAAAACACCTTAGCAACCATACAGGACACTCATTATAGCAACATGATAAAAATCCTCAAAACACCTTAGCAACCATACAGGACACTCATTATAGCAACATGATAAAAATCCTCAAAACACCTTAGCAACCATACAGGACACTCATTATAGCAACATGATAAAAATCCTCAAAACACCTTAGCAACCATACAGGACACTCATTATAGCAACATGATAAAAATCCTCAAAACACCTTAGCAACCATACAGGACACTCATTATAGCAACATGATAAAAATCCTCAAAACACCTTAGCAACCATACAGGACACTCATTATAGCAACATGATAAAAATCCTCAAAACACCTTAGCAACCATACAGGACACTCATTATAGCAACATGATAAAAATCCTCAAAACACCTTAGCAACCATACAGGACACTCATTATAGCAACATGATAAAAATCCTCAAAACACCTTAGCAACCATACAGGACACTCATTATAGCAACATGATAAAAATCCTCAAAACACCTTAGCAACCATACAGGACACTCATTATAGCAACATGATAAAAATCCTCAAAACACCTTAGCAACCATACAGGACACTCATTATAGCAACATGATAAAAATCCTCAAAACACCTTAGCAACCATACAGGACACTCATTATAGCAACATGATAAAAATCCTCAAAACACCTTAGCAACCATACAGGACACTCATTATAGCAACATGATAAAAATCCTCAAAACACCTTAGCAACCATACAGGACACTCATTATAGCAACATGATAAAAATCCTCAAAACACCTTAGCAACCATACAGGACACTCATTATAGCAACATGATAAAAATCCTCAAAACACCTTAGCAACCATACAGGACACTCATTATAGCAACATGATAAAAATCCTCAAAACACCTTAGCAACCATACAGGACACTCATTATAGCAACATGATAAAAATCCTCAAAACACCTTAGCAACCATACAGGACACTCATTATAGCAACATGATAAAAATCCTCAAAACACCTTAGCAACCATACAGAACACTCATTATAGCAACATGATAAAAATACTCAAAACAGCTTAGCAACACCCTCGCAACCATACAGAACACTATAGCAACATGATTAAAGCACACAAAACATCTTAGCAACACCTTAGCAACCGTCCAGAATACCATAGCAACATAACAGCATTGAGAACAATGCCCTAGAAACCACTCATCATGCTATAGCAACTGCAAACAAATATGATAGTCTCTCAGAATACCTTAGCAACACCCTAGCAACCACTCATAATACCCCAGCAACTGCATACAACATAAAAAACACTTAGAACACCTTTGCAACACCCTAGCAACCACTTATAATACCACTGAAATTGAAAATTAACGTAATTAAAATACTCAGAACACCTTAGCAACACCCTAGCTCTCGAGTGCCTTGTCAGGAAGCGGCACTTTACTTCAAATAAGTTATTGAAAGTTGTTACTGATGACTAGTACATTTGACCCGCTGGCCTGTGCATTAACCAGCACTGCATGACGCTTATTAAAGGTTTGTGTTTGCAGTAGTTGTTTGGTGCATGTCATCAAAATGCTATTAAGTAAAACGGTTCAGTAAAAAGGGTTTGCGCTTCATTTGGCCACTGTGCTTTAATTGAAGGTGGTGATCTGCTTATGTAGTTCTGTTTTTGCTTTATTCATGCTTTGCACATTTTTTTTTACTCACGTGGCTTCTCTGCTCATTTCTCCTCTGCTTTTCTTCTGTCCTTCCATCTTTCTCTCTTCTGCTGCTCCTCAAACCCGTGTTTCTGCAGGTCTCTCAGGATTTGCTGCATCTTATTTCTCCCCAGTGAAAGCTCTAGTGTCTCCAGTACCCAAGATGTTCAAGACTCTGTTATCCAAGAAAGAGACGCCTCCTCCTGCTGTCTTTGAGCAGGTAGCAACACCTGCTTTGGCTCTTACTTTATGAAACATTTTTAGATTTAGAAGCTGTGATTAACATTTTTTCAGAACATTGTATGGTAGTTTATACATTTTGAGTTCAGGGTTATGTTTCATTTGTATTTAAATGATGTAGCTTTTTATAAGTAATAATAATAAAAAATTAAATATAGAATTACTAAACAAGTAAAATAACATCCATCAAGTTATTGCAAAATGCAGTATTTTTGGTTTTACCAGGTATTCCTGGTAAAACACTTGATAATATTTTTCCCCTTTAATTTCACCTAGAATGTGCCACGTATTATTGTGCAGTCTGCCAGTCTTGAAGACATCAACAGCTATGAACTGGTAAATCTGTTCAGTTAGAACCTGAAAAATAAAATGTATATTTGTTTGGTATGATGATTGTTTTTTTTTTTAAATGGTAATAATAATTTTATATTTATATAAAACAATTTGTTTAAACTTGTGTAGTTGAATACATTTTGGATGCATTTTATGGTAGCACTTTATTTTACAGTCCTGTTTCACGTGTGCGTACTATGTACTTACTGTAGCAATTACAATAACTGGGTAATAACTAGGAACTTAACCCTTAACCTACCCCTTAACCTTTCTTTAACCCATGTGGTTATCTTATACTACCCAGAACGGTACTGTAAAATACACGTACAGTAAAATAAAGTGAAACCCATTTTATTTTGAAGACTCCACTGGGTCCATCAAAAGAAACTGCTCAAGACAGCCAATCAGAATCTGCTTCCTTTGTGCCCATATTTCCGGTTATTCCTGATAAAGTGGAGACCACCGAAGCATCCACCATATCCTCAGAAACCACGTCTGACATCCAGATAGTAAGTCTACATGTATTCTAGGCAGCTCCTTATTAGTATGGTGAGCAGTATCTTGTAATGAGGTATAGTGGGAAACTTAAGTTGCTTTTATTACTGCGTATATTATTAATTAGCTTCATCTCTATGATCTCCTCAGAGCCATGCTATGGAAACTCCAATTTCAGAGAATGTTGAGGAGATTCTATGTCCTCAAGAAGTTGAAGTTCCACCTCCATCTGTTCCTCCAGTAGTTGAGGAAATTCCAGCTCCTAATCTTTCTTTCAAGTTTGAGGAGGTTCTACTTACATCTGTTCCTCCAGTGGTTGAGGAAGTTGTATCTCCTAATTCTCCTTCAGAGGCTGAGGAGGTTCTACCTTCATCTGTTTCTCCAGAGGCTGAGGAAGTTCTGTTTCCATCTGTTTCTGCAGAGGTCAGAGAGTTTCCGCCTCTTTCGGTTTCTCCAGAACTCAAAGAGTCTCTACCTCCTACTGTTCCATCAGAGATTAAGGAGGTTTCACCTCCTGCTCCTATAGAGGTTGAAGACCCCAAGCAAAGTCCAATTGGTGATTCAACACACAGCTCCATCAGCGACGTCTCAAGTGGATACATCTCCACAAGTGTCTCCATAATGACTCTCTCTGAGTGTGCGGTCTCGAATGTTGATCGTCCTCTCCTCGACAGCACAGAGGCCAAAATAGACTCTACTTCCAAAAAGACTGAACCAAAAACAGAGTTTGTGCCAATAAGCAACATGTCCCGGGAGCATCAGTCAAAACTTGAACCAGCTGACCTAGAACTTGGAGAACAGACACCTACAGAATCCCAGACATCAGAAGAACATGGTCAAGTGTCTCCTCTAGATGCCTCTCCTCAAAAAATCCTCAGTGTTTCTGATTCCTTACCTCAAGAAACCTCTGAAGCCAGCGTCTCTTCATCTTGTTCAGCCGCATCAGTACCATCTATGCCATTAGCACCACCAGTTGCCTCAAAAGCATCTGATCCATCAGTACCGGTGAAGACCGCTAAGCCATCAGCGCCTGCCCAGCAATCAAGACCTGAACAAAACGTCAAACCCACTCCTCCCACCTCCAACCCTTTCCAAATCCACAGAGTCAAGACCTCCGGCCTAAAGTCTTTCAAAGGGATCCTGCCTGAAGAAGAGGAAGAGGGTAAAACTAAACACAATAACTTTTCATCTGCACTGAGCGAGTCTCAAGAAAGACTGGAGATCCTTTCTGATTCAGAGGAAAGCCTTGAGACTCCCGACTGGCTGAAGGAGGGGGAATACGTCACTGTGGGCACCAATAAAACTGGAACAGTCCGTTACGTTGGACCAACTGACTTTGCAAAGGGCGTTTGGGTTGGAGTGGAACTTGATGTTCCAGCAGGTTGGTAATGCTCTTTAACTTCAGTAGATCAATATGTCAATAGAGTCTGCAACACTACCGGCATGCATATCCGATTCCAGTCACTTGCAACCCCTTGACCAGTGTTTCCTGGACAATGGATTTGCAAATATTGTTTGTAAGGAGCATTTGGATGCATAACTTGAGTAGATCTAGAGAATAGTGTGTACAATACCACCTCCTTGCAGTACTTGCCAGGGCTGCGTTTTCCAAAAGCATCATTGGTGCCAATAGCTGCGTTTCCATTACAGATGTGCGCAAAACTTTTGTGATATTTTCTAAATGTCGATGTTATGCAACTAAGACATACTTTTTCCCTCTCGTGATAAGTCATGGCGACGGATGTTGGTAGGTTTACATATCGCAGCCACCGCACTAGCCATTATTTTTAATGAAAGGAGATGTAAGCGTGTATCTTTAGAGAAGCAGCGCGGAGAGCCATTTCTGGGACGTTTCTGAAATGTGCCGTGGCGTGGCTGGTATAAACACAAGCATTGAGTAGAGTGGCCAAAATATGCTCCAGTGGCCGTTTCGGAGCCGTAATGCGCCCCAGATGTGTGCAGTGTAAATAAGGGGTTATCCAAGCATTAATGGCAAGGAAAGCCCCTTATACTTGAGAGCGGCCACGTATGAAGTGTTTCTTGGAGGTTAATAGTATATTAAAGAATGATCATGTGATTTTAATATATGCCAGGTGACCTGTAAATGCGAAAAAAACTGTTTACGTTACAGTTTTATGAAATATTCCTTTTTCGAATTGCCGGAAAAACCACCTCATGTGCGCGTAAAAACTTTTTTGCGATATATGCAAGTTTTTGTGAAATTGACATGTTTCCATTGGACGTATTTTCAATTCGGAATTTCAATTTGCGCATTCTGAAGGATAATGGAAACGCTGCTAATGGCTTCTACGATCTGCTTAGGCTTGTGATGCTTTTGGGAAATGCAGCTCTGGTCCCAGGTATTACATGTTGTGGACTTAAAATTTCGTATGATTCAAAATGGTGCTCACTAGCGCCGTTTTACAAAATTTATGCTTGCATAGACTTCACAGCGGTCCACTAACCGACTGTTCTAGTTATTAGAAATTAAGTCTAATCGTATGATCAATGGACCATTGATTTGCAATGGTTCTCTTCTCGTATCCACCACCAAAAAATTATACTCGTATTCATTTCTAGATAAAAACGATGGTTTGGACTTGTGGTTATGTATGAATCAAAATATGAAATTTACACGTGCATAAACTTCACTAACCAACTGTTCCAATTATTAGAAATGATGTCTAATCGCGTGATCATTGGACCATTAATTAGCAAATGTTCTTCTCTTGTATGCACCAAATAATTATGCTTTTCTTCATGTCCAGGTAAAAATGATGGTTCGGTCGGCGGTCGCCATTACTTCCACTGCAACCCTGGTTACGGTGTTCTTGTGAGACCAAATCGAGTTGTAAAAGCGACGGGTACCGCTAAACGATCGAGGCAGAAACGCAATCAGAACCTCTCGGGATCTAGTCCCAACCTGGCAGCCCTTACAGCGATGGCCAAAGGAGAAGCTGGAGCACGCAAGGGTGAAAACAGGAAGTCTTGGGTTAGCTGAGGAAAATGCATCATTGTTGATGGACGTGTACGGAGGACATTATTGGTATGGCACTGAAACACTACACTGATACTTGCAGGGATGTAACTGCCACCTGATTTACGCATATCTACACTACATAGTGCCTAGTGTTCGAAAAGCCCATGTTAGAGGTGTATTTTCAGCCTCGGTAAGCAGTATTTTTGGTATTATTCTTTTTTTAAAAAATGTTTTTAATATCATAAAGTGCCCCGCTTATCTGAACCCAATGTCAGGGAGTATGTCCATTTGGTTGTTCCCTAGAAAAATCAGGACACTGATGGATTCATTTCATGATTTTATATACAGTAGGAAGGCGAGGTGGGATTTACAGTTTTATTCATAAATAATGTTTTTAGTGTTATTATGGTGCGTTGGTTCTGTATTTTCTCTTGGTTTGGTACCTTTGAATGATTGTTTTTCCTTCTTCTTAAACAGAGTAATTTATGATCAAATTATTTATTTTGCAGATCAAAGTAATGACAAAAAATTATGTTGAAGATTTTATATTGCAATGGTGAGAGTAATAAACTTTATTATTTTATTATCTTGCCTTTAAACGTCTGCATGAAATCGTAGAAGATCGTATATTCTATCTTCAAACTCTTTAAAACGCAGTCATGTAAGAATAAAATCACACGGCTGATCATCAATATACCTTTATTTTCCAGAAGATAAAGTACTAAAATAAACACAAGTTTTAAAAAAAGTCATTTTAAACAAAGAAACTGTACAAAAAGTTCATGTATACTATAGTATACTTACAGAACAGTCTACTGTCCAAAAAAGGCACTAAATTCTTAAATGGGAGATACAGATGATTCACAACAGAATGCTTTGAAATCATAGACTTATTTGATTCAAACAATCTTTAAATTCATAGTTACTGTCTTCTGTTTATTTATACAGTTGCTTTTATAGGCCTATACATTTTTTTTGTTTATAGACATGAAAACTAAATGGAAAGCACCCCATTTAAACCAGCGGGGTTAGCGTTCGTTGCTCTGGATTAAAACACTTGAGGCAACAGAACGAGTCATTCGTAGTATCTGTATGTCACTGTGAGATCATGTAAATGTCAATACTTGACGTCATACTGCAGTTTGGCACATTCCGTCATGTGTACAAAGAGGCTCTAGTGACACAGACGTGGACAAGTCGTTTCCTTAGTTTGAAATACAACTGTAAAAGCACATTTGAACATCACAGCATTAGAAAACGACCTGTAACAAACTTATATTACAAAAAATGTGACAAATAAAGTAGTGTTTCTTGAGTGAAGGGGGTGCATGATCTGAATCAGACACGCTTCAGGAGACTGCTCTGAACATAAAAACGGTGTAAAACAATCAAATAAAAAAAAGAATCTTAAATTATTAAGCAAAAATTGTCATTTTATAAATATCAATTGTACACAGGAAGAATCGAGGAAGGATACATAAAAAAAAAAACTAGGCTTCATTAATGACACGGACAGAAGCAGTTTCTGTTAGCTGTTTGTAAAACCATTCTTATGTCATTTGTTGCTTTATGCAAGTGTTGCATTGAGTTTGTGATCATTTATGTAAGAACGGCTCTACGAATGAGTCGTTCTGCTCGTTTCAATGAATGAAGCCCAGCGAGTGAATAGTTATTTTAGAACCTTTTTGAATAAAATAAGCTACATTTTGGAACCAAGCTTATGTTAGATGAGAGTTAGACTCTCAGAGCTGTGTGGCAGCAGAACAAACATTTATCAGTCAGTCTCTCGTGAACGATTAACACTGTGAAATTCTGATGTCATTTCACAATAATAATAAAAGTTTTTGGGAGCTCGCACATGTTATAATTCTGACTGCTGTCAACTTGAGCCAGTATTTCACATTGATGTATTTCGTTCTGAACATCATGAGAGCAGATGCTTCGGTCTTTGCATGTAAATAAAAACGTAAAAGCTAAATAAATACAAACATAATAGCGCTTTAATGCATATTCACTTTGGGTAATGCTGGACACTTTTAACGGTTTAAAATGAAGAAAGCTAGCGGTCTGCCCACTTAAGTCTCTCTTTGAAGGTTCATTTAGAGTCCAGGAGACTTGCGCTTTGGCGGTTATGTAACCACATCTTTCAAGTTTCACTACAATTATATTTCACCCCTCCCCCCCGCCCCATTTGAACAAAATTCAAATCAAAGTACAGTGTAATGCAATTGGATGAATCTCAAAAAATTAAATTATATATATATATATATATATAAATATCCTGGTTTAATGTCTCCTGCAAACCAAAAGGAAAGTAATAAGAAATTATATTTTGCATTTTGAAGATATTTTTCATGGCATCATGCCAATTACGCACATTTTCCCCTCAAAAAAAAAAATATATTTTTTTAATGATTATTTTTCAAGTCAGCATACGGTATGCCAAATGCTTTACAAATGTAAATATTTTATTATCAGCATTTTTTTAGGAAAATGTGCTTTAAATTTTTATTTTATGCAAAATATGTTGATTTATTTCCCTTTCATGTTGTCCCTTTCAGACACATTTTTGACAGTTTTCATGAGATTCACCCAATTGCTGTTTGATGAAATACCGTACAAAAGTAAAGTAGACACATAAAACCTGTTAACTGAGAGCATCTGTAGCGGGAATGGAGGAAGATCATGGATTCAAAGCAAAAATCAGACTCGCCTCTCTCTTAAACTATCTGCCTTTAGCTTATCTGTGAGAATGAGGGAATGAGGGTCACTGGAGCACACAGACAGGAAGCACACGAAACATTATACAGGTTACTGGAACTGGAATGAGGTACGGGGTTTGGGTCAGCCAGGGTTCGGGAGGCTTAAATAAGAGCTGTAGGTGATGGCCGAACATCGTGGAATGACCTCACACTTGTCAGTTCCTGTCGAGAGTGTGTCATTGACTCTGGGCTTGATCAGTGGTTCAGCAGGAGTGTGTCGATAGCAGGTGATAATACCGTATTGGCCCGAATATAAGACGACCCCCCTTTTTCCAGATGTACCTTTTGGAAAAAGGCTTTTTAAAAACCAAATCGTGTTTTTTCTCAGTAAAACGCATTTTGTCTTCAATTATTTTCATATTGCATATTTTTCCTATTTTAATTTTTGTTTTGAAAGTATGGTAAAAACTGGTCAAATGTACCAACAATCACATTAAAAAAATATACACTTTTTGATATACCATTAAAAAAAAAAATCAGGACATTTAGGCTATCCATCTAATAGTAGCCCACCAAAATCTTATTAACAGTAGAAGTTAAATCTTACTGTAGTCTTCAAATCTGGGTACTGTCTTACGTTTTAAAATCACAAAGAGAGTTTGGTCGCATCAGGCTAACGTGACCGTCACGACTCATGCAGCTGTAAGCTGTTCTTTTTCTTTAGTTTTTACTCACGATCTTTACAACACGCATTACATTACGTATTTCATGGCACACTCGGTTTATGTGTATTTGGCGCCACCTATTGTTGTGTGTGTGTTATTGACACGTCAAAGTCTAGATTTTTCAGATGTATTTCCAAGAAAAAAAACATCGTCTTATATTCGGGTCAATACGGTAGATTCTAAAAGCTTGAGACAGAGTGTTGATTTGGTCATTACTCCATAAACACGTCTGGAGACATCCACACACGCACTCATTGATCCTCTTCGTCCCACGGTCTTCCTCAGTCGTCATCCAGTGACTCTGTTTTGATTTCACTGGCCACGCCTCCCGGGCGGGACAGGGCGAGGATGCTGTGATTGACAGCTGCCATCTCCACGGCAAGAGAGATGGGGTCCTGGTGGTCTGCGTGATTGCCGGCATCATCCTTAAAGAGACATGTATGTCAGTGAAACATTTGATATCAAGTCACAAAATGGGGTCATGAACTGCCTTTTTTTTTACTTTATTTTGTACTGTTCTCAGAGGTCCACTTATAATGTTAAGATTTTTACATTAAAAAAAAAAACATCATAATTGAGAAGTAATAGGCTATTTTCTGTCCTGTTTTGACCCCCTCATCAGAACGCTCTGTTTGAATAGATGTGATGGATTGTAGACTCGGAAGTAAACGCCCACCGCTCTGATTGGCTAACAGTTGTGTGTGTTTGATAGCCTACAGCCTTCATAGATGGACGTGCTGTGATTTAGGTTAAAAACGCATAAATACTCATTACACATCAAACGATCTGTAATAACAGACAAAGCAATAGTGAGCACATAATAAAAACAGTTCCTCACACTTGTGTGGTGCGACATTACGGTCAGATCCAATATATTCAGCACAACATCGTCTTTTAGTTTCAATCTTTCTGAAGATCCTGTGTTGAATTGTGTTTTGTTTGTAAACTAATCTGCGGTAAAATGAAGTGAACAAAGGACCGAGTTCTTACTGATGCGATCTGGATCTTCATTAAAAATAAAGTTCATCCACTCTTTCCTAATGTTGGGATCAGAAGGAAGGCGATGAAAAGGCTGAGTTTTGCCACAGCTTGGCTCTGAACAACGTCTTGTTAACTTGTAAGCATCTTTATTGTTTGGTTTCTGTGTAGACCTGCATTTGCCTCTCGTTATTTACACTACATGTGTGAATCGGTGGGCGGAGCTAAACAAGCAGTGATGTAGAATCGGTGGGCGGGGCTAAACAGGCAGTGATGTAGAATCGGTGGGCGGGGCTAAACAGATAGCGCGGCTAAACAGGCAGTGATGTAGAAGCAGGCATTGATCATCTTCTGCGGAGGTGGAGTTTAGCCACACTATTACGTCATAAAGTGGCTCATTCCACAATCTGTCATTTTGGCAGATCAGCTTTAATATAAGCTGTTTTTAGACTAATGAGAAAGTTTTGAGTTCTGAAACTTATGTTTTTATAGTACAATGACCTCTTATATGTCAAAAGATCAAGAGGATTTAGATTTCTCAGTTCATGACCCCTTTCATGTAACTTCATCTTGAGCTTTGATTATCTGTATGTATAAATTGTGTGTGCTATTTATCTTTGTTTTCATGTGATACCTGTGTTGGTGAGGTGGGCTCCAGACGGTAGTACCCAAAAGGTCGGTTCATGCCTCTCTTTTCAAAATAGGAAACATCACAACCCTGTAATGAAATCACTGAGTTCAGCTCTAGCAGTAGTGTTAAACAAACATTCCATGTTCAGCAGATCTAAAAAATAAGACAACGGATCCTTTAGTTCGAATGAGTCGTTTGATTCACCTGCTCACCTGCTCGTTGTAGTCGTTAGCGTCGACGTCGTCACTGTTGGAGTGTCCTCCAGGACTCTGCACATCGATCCCGTGACTCTCCAAGATTGTGGCTTCTTGGAAAAAAGACCCTGTCATGAAACATCTGAAACTCTTTAAAAACCACTACCACAACAAACGAAAAACTTTACTACTAGTAACCGAACCAGTAAAATCCTGACTGATTTGAACATGTTTCTTCATCAAGACAAAAGTCATTACTATATATAAATCAGGAGTATTAAAATGAACTCAAACTAAAACCATAAAACTGAAATATAATATACAGTTTATAAAATTTAAAATAACTTTTTTTTTTTTTTTGCTAAAAGAAAAAAAAAACTATAAAATTAAAATGGAAAAAGTGTTTAATATTAACATATTAAAATATGTTTTCAAAGAAAATACAAATTAAAACAGAAAATACAAAAATAAAAACAGCTTAAAAATATTACCAAAAACTACAATAGTATCTCAATGATACTAAAATAACATAAATCAACTAAAATATGGTACCAATATTGGCCCTCCTCTTGATCTCTTTGCGTCGGTTGGCAAACCAATTGTAGACTTTCAATGATGTGACTCTTTCCAAGTCAGACAACTTCTTTCCTAGCCAGGAAAAACAAGATTGAAAGGTCAAAGACGATTGCGAAAATGCAAATGTGATATGTCATTTGAAGTGCAATAGATAAATCTCACTGTGCAGATTCAGACACACCAGCATTTCTACCTGGTTTCTGAATAACAGCGTTGCAGGCGTTGGCGATCTCCTCTCGTTTGGCTTCATCTGGATATTGATTATCACTGAAATAGCTGAGGAGAGAACAAAGCGTAAACACCGTACAGTTAGCAGGACTAGCGTGCTTCTGGCATGATTTGAGCTAAAGAAGCATATTTTATGAGAACATTTTATTCCTGATTTGAAATATGTTATTGAGATGTAACACTGACAAGGAGTTTCAGACATTTTGTTTTTTCAGAAGGGGCGTTATCTCCGTCTCACCTCTCCATCACAGCGAGACATTCCTTCCTCCAGGTGAATCGACTGCCTCTGCGCAAACGGAAGCTTCCAGGGGCAGAGCTTATGGGGGGCGGAGTCTGACGCCACTCCATCTCATCCAGAGATACAGGGGTGGGACGCATATTTAATGTGGCACCTGAAAATATATATAAAAAATATATACACGACCGTTCAAAAGTTTGGGGTCGATACATTTTTTCATGTTTTTAGTCTCTTATGCTCACTGAGGCTCACTGCAAAAATGCAGTAAAAACTGTAATATTGTTTAATATTATTACAATTTAAAATATGGGAATATATTTTGAAATGTAATTTATTCCTGGGATGCAAAGCTGAATTTTCAGCATCAATACTCTAGTTTTCAGTGTCACATGATCCTTCAGAAATCATTCTAATATGCTGCTCAAGAAACACGTCTTATTTCTTATTACAGTTGTGCTGCATCATATTTTGTGTTGAAACAGTGATACATTGTTTTTCAGGATGAATAGAAAGTTCAAAAGAACAGCAGTCATTTAAAATAGAAATGTGACACTATAAGTGTCTTTACTGTCAGTTTTGATCAATTTAATGCATCCTTGCTAAATAAACATACTAATTTCTTTCCAAAAAAAATAAAAATTCTAAAAATCTCACTGACGCCAAACTTTTGGTTGGCAGTGTATTTAAACATTTTGACCTGTAATTGGGTTCAACCTTATCTTTGTACATTTATCAACCTACATTAAAACAAGCAAAGTTCGTTAACCTGGCGTTGTCTTCTCCAGCTGGTACCAGCGATAGAAAGCTCGTTTCTTCTGTTCACTGAGATCTGAGCCCTGCTGGAGGAGCCAGTGAGAGATTCTGCTCTGACTGATGCCTGACACGCAGAAAGAGAAAACAAATCAATAACAAACCAATGCACAAGTCAGAGTCAAACTGACAGACAGAACAATAACGAAATGACAACCCATCTTACATTCAGAATTTTATTTTGGTTTAGTAATTACAGTTTAACCTATTGCACTTAGGTTTACGGTTCTTGCTGAAAGCGAAATGCTGTAAGGCGACAAAATATGTAATATTGTTTAATAAAAATCTATGTGAAACCGGATTGTGAATAATTAACTGTATTCAATGGCGAGTGGCAAAATTGGAAACCAAACAGCCAACAAAATAATCTATACACTTGTTGTGGTTGTGAACAAACATTCTGATGGAAATCGAAGAGATTTATCACTTGTCTCATCACACCTGGTTATGACAGTGTTTTAGGAATATTCCAGTTTCAAAACAGCATCTGTGACATGCTGTCGAGTCATTTTGACTCGTGTAAATGCTTCAGTACAAAAGTGTTATTTGAGCTGTGAAGTCTAAACTGTCTATATTTAAGCTGTGAAGTCTAAACTCTCTAGCAGTGGGACTACTATTCTTGGCAGATGAACTACCTGTGGTTTGCAAAGACAAGTTCAGTAAACTAATCTATCACACTACAGGACATTATTAAAGACAGGACAAATAACACTGCAGTCGTCACTGTAGATTAATACTTACTAAAGCTATAAAAGTTATTCAGTCGAGCAGTTTTCTCGGTCTTTTGTTGTTTGATTGACATTAACAACACAGATAGCAGCAGGTATATTAGGCTGCTGTCACTTTAAGACCTAACGCACAGATCTAACATATTTGACATGCATCCAATTTTCTGTTTACATTCACTTAAGGCAAGAAACTATAGGCAATATTTTATATTTTTTGAGACACTGGTCAATTTTTTAGTTTTTGATCTATTTTGCTTACATAACATGTCTTCTTTCAGACTAGAGGAAAGAAAGCATCCAAAACACACATTTAAGTGTATTTTGTTATACTTTAAGTATGTGAGAATTTTCAGTTACAATACATTTTCTCAACACACACACACATACATTACAATACATTCTCAAAAATACGTTTTCTCAAAATGATTTTTTTTTCTCCTGCACTGAGTCAGAAATCTTCACTTCAGTAGCACTTAAACCAAATTTTACCATTTTGTTCATAACTATATTCTGAAGGGTTTTTTACCACTAATTGGCAAGACTTAAAAACACATGCAAATGTGAAACTTGATGACGCAGTAATGGCCCCACATCTGTACCAAGCATCTTTAACACAATGTGTATTTTATTACAGTACAATGTCTTGCCCCATAGACTTGTATTGTAAGTACATTTCTGAAATGATTGCTGATGATTGATTGAACATGATAGATGTTTTAAGAATTGGGGTAATGGGGTGAACTGACCTGTGACCTGAGCCACCACGGCCTGTGAGATGCGTCTGTTGCCCAGAAAGGCTTTGATTTCCTCCTTCACCAGGGTGCTGTCTCGCCTGCACACATCACAGGACACAAACATGACAGCTGCAATTCAACACCACAACAACATGATGTCTGTGAAGATTCAGTTATCAAACTCATCACAGAATGTCTCCGAGCAAAATGACCCTGCTTAAACCCGGTAAACACAATCACACGTCAACAGCGCTAAATTCATTTAGAGTGAGTTTGAATCGACTTTGATTTTCTGTTTTCATTTTAGCTGCTTTTTTTTTTTTTTTTTTTTTTTTTTTTTTAATGTCTGTAATAGTTGTTTATTCATTTTTATTTTGGTTGTAGTTTTAGGGTGCTTTCACACTTGGTTCGCTTGCCTGGTCCGAACCCGAGTTGGATTGCTCCCCCCCTCCCCCTGCCCCCACTGGACTGCGTTCATATTATTTTATTTGGGTACGAACCGCGGTTCGTTTGCATCATCAAGCCAGCAGCTGTTTACCCCATTGCTTAGTAGAGAAGGCGACAAATTCATAACATTGCTCTCTGCACTTTTATACATTTATGTTTTTAAACCGTTCGTTTTGTTTACAAAGCTTCGGTACATAATGGCATTTAAGTCTGTCTTACGAATGTAAAGCAAATGCTCTAAAGAACGCTGCAGGCGAACAGAAATGAGTGTTTGCAGTGCGTCAGTCACGCTCGTCAGGAAAGTGAGTGAAACACAAACACACATTTTTATCAAATAATACGTCATTAATAGCAGTTCACTTCCGCGATTTGGTACGATTACGTTCACATCAGCAGCGAACTGTACCGGAGTTCACATGAACCGTACCCCAGACCACCCTTTTTAAGTGGACTCTGGTACGGTTTGCGGGTGCGCACCGAGTTCGTAAGACAGCGTTCACATCATCCATACGTACCGAACTCCGACGTCAATCGAACCTGGGTGCGCACCAAAAGTGCTAGTGTGAAAGCACCCACAGAGAGGACATCATTAATCACAGTTTACCAGAGAACCTCCTTGTGAGGCCAATGAGGCCAAAGAAGACTGTGGTGTTTGCTGAGGAAAACTGGGCTGAACAGGAAGAGCCAGCACCAAAAAAAGCTGAACAGTCAAAGTACTATTCGTTTCCAAAAAAAGAGTCCAAACCTAAAACCAAAGCAACGCCATCCAAGAGGGATGAAACAACAAACAGTAACCTGCCCAATGTTTTAACAATTATAATTTTTTTAATTAATTATTTTAGTTAATTCATCTCAAGGCTCCAGACTGCTAAACTGAACAGATTGCAAATGTATTTAAATAAAAAAAAAAGTACATACAAAAATATTATTATTATTTTAAAAATTACAACTTTATCTTTAACTTTGCCATTTAAAATACATATTGGTAAACCACTAGTAAAACAAACAAAAACCTTTCAGTTATAAAAAAGGAAGTACAACAGTGTTCAGCAAATTTTTGAATGTTAATAATATACTACATTGGCACATTACTACATATTTTTGCAAGACTGAGTGGCATCCAATTATTATCTCAGTTATTATCTTAATTTTTAATGTTTATATAGTTTTTTAATTCATTTTTATTTCGGCTTTAGTCTGTTTTTTAGTAAATAAAGTGACAAGTTGTCAAGTTATACTAAATGAAAAAAGATAAATGTTGCTTTGACAACTATCTGAAATTTTGTTATTTATTTTTATATATTTTTTGTAGATTTTATTTATATTTTATATTATACACTTTTATTATGTTTATATTTTATTTTTATTTCAGTATTTATATTTCAAGTAATGAACATTTTCTAATGGTTTTAGTATTTTAGTTTTAGTTAACTATAATAACCCTGACTGACTGACCTCATGAGCTCCTCCACCTTGTCATCTATATCCAGGTCCTCCTCTGACCCCTCCAGCCCGTACGACCTCACGGCTGCCGCACTGTTCACCGGGTAACGGTTCGGCGACAGTTTCCCATTGGGTGTCGCCGCCAAAGCGTCCCGCCCGTTCTGCGCCATGGCGACCAGAGAGACCGGCGAGGGTAAGACGGCGGGTGGAGACGTGGCGTAACTGTTGCTGGGCGATGGTGATAAATTACCGTGGAACTGCGTTTGCGTTGCTGTGGAAGTGGTGGAGGAGGTCGCCATGGTGGCGTTGCTAGTGCTATTTGAGGTGGGTGTAGTGCTGGAGGTGGTGCTGTTGGTGGCGTTGGAGTCCGACAGGCCGCGCCGGCTGTATTTGTCCCCGTGCTCACGGTCGAGTCGCTCCAGGGTGTCCAGCGCGTGCACGATCTCGGGTTTGGTCATACCTGTACGCCGCAGTCTCTGGAGCAGGTCGATCTGTTCGATGGTGAAGCGTGGCTCATCTGTGTAGTGAGACATTCTGACGGGACACAAAAACAAACATTATTGAACACAATGCACATCAATCACATGTGCATCAATGGCTGTTATAGGAGAGCGTTCATGAATGCTGACAGAAAAAACAAACAGATGCTTCATTAAGAACTGAAAGTTTGCATACCGTGCAGTAGGCCTACATACTGAATCCTGCCTATTAACAAAAAGTTATGCAACAAATATTTTGATCATTAACATGCAATATTTTTGACACGTTACCTCAATGTTGAATGATTAAGTGAATGGTATCCAGTTATCATCTCAGTTAGCTTCTTGATAAATTATTACATAAAAAAATAAATACACAAAAATTGGTCATCCAGTAGTTAAATAAATCCTAAAAACGTTAAGCATTCTGAACAAACAGTCAAAAAGTAAAAAATAATGACTGATACTGCTTCTAGTTCATTCATCTCAAGGCTCCAGAATGCAACTAAAATGGTCGCAAACACAAAACAATATATATAAATAAAATACATATATAAAATAATTACTATTCTACACAATTTGAAACTTTACAATAAATTAGGGCTGCACAATTAATCGAATTTCTAATCGCGATTACAATTATGGATGCTACAATTACGTAATCGTTCAAAGCGGCAATTAATCGTTCAAAGTCCACTTGTGTCATTCCGCGTTCTTAAGATGCGTTTTTTTCTTTCTACAGGTTATCTTAAGGGTTTTTCCCATTATTTTAGTTTGAGTTTTAGTATAACATTATAATACCATTCATATTTTTACTTTTTAATACTTTAAAGAAACCAATCCGATGTATATTTGACATTTGAGGCTCAATACTACACAAAAGCACTAAAGGTTTTTCAGTTAAAAGTGTTTTCAGCTTGTTTATTTTCATATAAAAATACGGCATGCAGTTGCATCAAACAATGGTATAAACATCATTCAATGTAAATTGTGACAATCGTAATTAATAATCGCAATTACAATTTCAAGGGAATAATCGACAATTATGATTTGTCATAATCGTGCATCCCTACAATAAATAATAAATGTAAAAATATCTGTCATATTGGTCAATCACTAGTAAAAGAAAGAAAGAAACAAAAAGATACTGTGCAGTACTGTGTACTCCCTACTATTTAAAAAAAGGAAGTTCAACAACAATATGCACCAATAAATGTTTCAAACATTATGCAACATTTCAACTCAGGTTATACTTGATATATTAAATTGCCATGCAATAACTCGTATTGAGCAACAAGCAGTAACTGATAAAAATTTTAAGCATAGTCAAGAAGGTATAAATAATGGAAGGCTTTGCTTCTAGTTTGTTCATAAAATATAAAAAAAAAATACAACTAAATAAAATGTTGTTGTTTGTTATAAGATTTTTTACTTTATAATAATATTATATGAATGAATATGATAAAATATGAAATGAATATTATAAATATATAATATTATAAAATATGTAATGGTTTAAAATGCAAGTTCCATTAAAAAAAAAAAATCCCAACAAACAGTAAATCAAGATGTTAAAAATAATGGATGATGTTGCTTTTGATTTATTAATCTCAGGGTTTGTAGTTATTATTATATAAAATTTGCAACTTTATGGTAAATATAAGCATATTTTTGTATAAACATCTAATAGCCATGATTATGAGGAGTCAATATTTAATTAAATCTTTAGAGATTAAGTCAGTGCAATGCAATCAGCATCTTTGCACAATGCAACAATAAACGCTTACATTACTTTTAGTTCTCCTTAATAAAAGACCTGTTCTCTTTCATAAAAACTGATTCACAAATGACTCTCAAATGCATGAGTTAATGTTTATATGGTTTGAATCAATCCAATGACTTGCTCACTGAACTGTTCAGAGCTTATACTACGTTAACAGCTCAGTTTAACAGTCATTGGTTTTAGTCTGGAACGGTGTGTCACATTGTAAACAGAAGGTTGAGTGCATTGCATTGTGGGATACAGGTTGTACATTTCCTTACTGTGCACAGCTTTCTAACACATATTTTCTATAAGAATAGTACGAAGGAACAATCCCAGAATTCACTCCAACATGTCAAGCCTTAGATCCTTAGACAAACGAATGAATTATCATAATTTCAAGTGCTCCGCCATCTCATGGCAGTCGAGTTATGATGATAAAAGCAGGATTCATCTGACCTACTTAAAATCCTGTTTATCCAAGACGGCTTTCATCAACAAGCACGAGCAATTACTGTCGCTGTTGTCAAGGAAACCATACCAGCCAATGACTGATGGAGTTTATGTAACTCCAGATTAAAACGCAGAATGCAAATACGGAGCATGCTTTGTTTAACCTTCTAATCTAGAGCACATGGTTTTATATTAAGCTAATGGTTAGTCATATTAATACCAGGCAGTAATAGATGACTAGCCAACCAGGTTGAAGGTTACATTTTAACCATGTTCTTCTCACTTGAACTGCAGCTATTCTATCCTCTACCAGGTAATATGAGCAATTCAATCAGTGATGCTTGACTACTAAGAATCTTTATTTCAGCTTTATGTCGCAGCAAAAATGAATGGGAAAGACTGGAAACCCGCCGACCTTGTGGCAACTAGTCTTCTAACGTAACCCGTATCCCAGTAGCACAGCTGGTTTGCTGTGAAATTCCTCACTGGTTTGGAGTTTTCCATTAAACCAGACCTATTATAGCCTATTTACACAAGTTAACAGTTAACCTTACACCGCTGGAGCCAAAGCACTCGCCGCTAAAAAAGGGCTCAGTGGGCTCTTGTACAGCATAATTGCTTCCACTTAGATCTCAGATGATCCTTATAAAAGTCTGTGATAGGAACGTGGCAGCCGCGGTGGGTTTCTAAAAATATATCACTGCGAGGCTTTGACTGAGGCAGAAATTGTGTGTGCGATGAAAGATACAATACGCTCTCGCCGTCATGAAGAAGCCCTTTTGTCATGCATGCGATCCTTCTCTGACATCTCTTAACATGCAGCGAGGGTCTCACCCATAAGCCCTGCTGCATTAGTCATCATGTGGCATTAAATACTGCAGGCGCTCACTGCAGGGCTCTTTATGAGGGCACAGCTGCAGAGACTGCAAGTCAAGGGTGCAGTCCTGCACCGCATGCACACGTGCATCAGCTCATCTGACTGCATCCAGACACGTCAAATGAGTTCACAGAGAGCTTTAAATAATAACCCACATGAGAATCCCTGCGCCCTTCTTCTTTTCATTTAATAACTACTGTTTATGTAGACGTGGTCGTCGTGAAACACAAAATTAGACTGAATTAAGCAGGATGGAAAATGTTTAGCATTATTAAAAATTGACATTCTAATTTTTGGCTGTTTTGTTCATGTTTCTAAAATTAACAACAAATAGTAGTACATGCTGTAGCAAACTTTGTGTAAATAATTATTAATTTCATTAATGGTTATAGAGTTATGGTCTGACACAGGTTTTATGACTTAAATGTATACATCATTTAACCTTTAACATCTAAAACACCACACATTGAAGGTGGACAAGATGCATTTTATCAGCTTAGTTGGCTTAGGTGTTGCAACAGACCTCACCAGGAGCTTCTAGAAATAGTAGCATGCATAAAAAAAAGATGTATCCCAAGAGGAGAGAAATCGTTTTTCTATGCATTTTAAGTAAACACTTCTTCACATCCTCAGACAGATCCTGGAAACTCAAGTTATGAAAGCAGATCAGAACAAATCCATGCAGCAAACTCATGATCAATGAGGATTATTAGCAAATCACTTTGCATTGCATGTGAAGGGGCTTCAGTCGACCGGTCAAAGCCCAGACTGTGTTTAAAATATGGATATTTTCTAACTGCATGTCATAAGAGCACAGATATACGCCCATCATCTTTGTGCATGAAAGCTAACAGCATATCCAGCGTTAGAAAAAAAAAACGCATACGAAATATAAGCATACATATATTAAACATGCACTTATTAAATAAACAATTCATATGAGAAACATTGAGTATTTCAACCTATATAAACAAAATAAGTTTTGCATGACTCATGTGTCCTGACCTTTGCAAACAAACACCAAAAGAGCTTTAAATTAACAGCACACATGCATAAATGTGTCATAAGACTGTTTATTAGTAAATATGACAAATAAATACATTAGTATAGCACTTTAACACTAGAAAAACTGGCTACATAACTCATTAACTGACTTATATTACTGTATAAACTATCTAGACATGTATACATTTAAACTAGACGCATATGTCGGTTGAAATTAAGTCACGAAGCGTGTTTTAACAAGATAAACAAAACGAACTGAATTATCCAGGCGGCTAACGTTAGTTAGCTTAGCACGAGCCAGCACAAAACTGACTCTCCTCAGGGATAAAATCACGTTTCTTACCTGGAATGAGGAAAACACACCAAATCTCAGCGCAGCAGATCATTTAATGTGCTCTGTCAGGCGACGAAGATGATATTTTATGTGATGTTGTGAGGAAGACTCGCCCTGACTGACTGACTGTCTGTCTTTGTCTGACTGACAGCAGCCGCGCTGACGTCATGACGCACGCCACGCATCGACTCGGGAAATGTAGTTCATCGCTATCGCGCCTCCATTGTGAGAGATGGACGTGTTCCGAGTGTTGCCAATTTAGCAATTTTGTAGTCTTTTCAGACTACCCTATTTTTCTTCCAAAAGCACCTAGCAACAAATTTAGCAATTTTAAACATTTATCTGGCAACTTTTAGCAACTTTTGATAAGGACTCGGACAATAAAAAGGCACACATTGTCCATCCAAATTACACAGAAAGAGGAAACCACAGATGCCTAGCAGTACACACGTCACGAGAATTGAGTTAGCTTAGGGTGACCATACGTGCCACAGGATTTCTATATTGCCTAAAATATCTAGGTTTTGGCTTTGTTTGCGTGTGCAGACCGATCGGTGTATGACATCTAACACTTTGTTAGTAGCTTGTACCTGCGATTGCTGATTGTAAGAAAAATGGAAAATCTTTCAGGACATTATCCATTATCCATCATCCTTTGTAACCCTGTAACCCGAAAACACAATGCGTAATTTAAAATACAGGTAAAAAAACCATTACGGAAAATTCTTTCATATTAACAGTAGATTGTGCCTTATTTTTACAGACTTTTCTTAGAGTGTAGCGTACTAACTAACTACTAATACACTGCTTAAAGCATAATTGTTGAGAATGTGTAGCGTTTACTAGATACTAAAAAAACTTGAATTGTAATCGTTTAAACGTGTACGTTTTCAATAATTCAATGTATTTAAAAATACAGTTATTTATATTTTAATATTATATCATGCATATTATTTTTAAAACAAATCTAAATGAACATATATAAAATCAATTTTTTGCTGAGGTTTGATGATGTGACAATTTTGCGTCGTGATTTACGACGCAATTAGCAACTTTTAGCAACAAATCGACCTTCCTTTTGCAACTTTCTCTGAAACTTAGTAGGCAACACTGCGTGTTCCTTCATGTTTCATTTCAGTCAGACTACAGAAAAGAAGCGGAGAGGAGACGTGAGAGAGTGTGAAAGACTCAGGTTTCCTTAAATTAACTTTATAATACGTAAAGGTGTGTTTAAAGTTCATTTATTTCTATAAACAGTTGCTTGAGGTGATTGCATCTGAGGAGGATAAACATAATATGGACATGATATCTTCCATTAAATGAAAAGAAGCGTAGGGCGTAGTATTTAGTAGGGACGCTAGGGACATGTCAATAAGTTATATTGCTATAAGTTATAGCAATAATTTTGCTCAAACAATTCAATGTATGCATATGTAACCACTGTTGTTGTAACTTCGGCCGAATCTAAAATAGGTCATACCATTGATATTACCTGAGAAGTTCAAGTAAATACGTTAGAAAAGTAGCTTATTGAAACTGAGCTTTTCGAAACTCAGAATCAGTTAAAGGCACAATATGTAAGATTTTTTTTATTAAAATATCCAAAAACCACTAGAACAGTGTTATATATTTTGCTGACTTGTGTACTTACATTATCCCAAATGTTTCAAAGAATGTTTAAATCCAGAGAAATAAGCAATTTTAATGTGATTTACCATAGCTATAAATAAAGTCTTTAGATGACATGAAACTATGGTCATACGTCTATCATAAATGCAAAAAAACCTACGCTATAGGTATTTGATAACCCCAAAATAACAAACAAGACCTTTTTGTATTTCGTTTGTCAAAGCAGACGTTAGAGTGCGCTGTTTTACACTGTTAACTCTAAATGGATGGCCAACAAAATGACAATGAAATCTCTGTCCAAATGAGCTCTGTATCTGATGAGTGAGTCTCCTGTTTCATTGCTGCACATTTAATCTACATATTATATTTCTGTAAAATGAAATAATATGCAGGAATGCTTCAGTGCCGCCCACAGTCAGTGCTGAAGATGATGTAAACTAGCATTGTGTTGTTGTTTATGATGTCTTGTTTTGTAGATTAACAAAAAACAGCATTATGTGACCAAGATTGAAAGATTTACATCTGTGGGTGATGCTGTGCATATTCTGAAGATTTGTTGTGATATATTGCACTTTTTCTGGACATTTCTTGACAGTTAATTCAGGTAACACACACTCCTATGCATCACAGTTCACTCAGACATGGTTTCTGTGCCTTTACTTACAGAAAAGTATACTGTGACTGTAATGAGGTACAGATGGTAATATCAAGGGTTTTTAAATTACAAATGATTACTTTAGTCATGTACCATTTGGTATTTACATTGCACTCAAATTTCCATTTGGTATTCACATGGTTCTTCAAAGAATAGCATAGTATTACCATAAGCAAGCCAACAAGTGTTGTGGCTGTAAACACAAGCCTGTTTCAATGACTCTCTGACATTTCTGACACTTCTATGTCAGTGTTTGTCATGACATGCTGTCATGTGGATAGACTTTGCCAAAAGAAAGGCAATAACTGTGGCCTAGTTCTGCTGGCTTTGTCATCATCAGATGTTTGATTATTTTTATTTTGCTCACATGCTTCAGGTTAGGGAGTTTATCTCACGAAAACATGTATTGGTCACAGTTTACCCCTATTTTAAGACCAGGACCCCCTAAATTCTCATGATCATAAATCATAAAAATCTCATTCTGGTTGCATCTGAATATTTTATTGAGAATTTTGGAATTTCCAATGGTGATCCTAATACAAAAATACTAATAAATATCAATATTTATATTATAAAATATATATTTTAAAAAATAGATTATAAACTTTTAAATATAATAAAAAAATTATAATTTTGAAATATATTTTAAATATAAAAAAAATTTTAATTGGTATGAATTAAGAGCAGTGCTTAAATTAAGCTAAGCATGAGCAATTTACAAAAATTAGCATTTTGCATTACGATAATGAAGTCTATTTTTACTATTAACATTTTTTTTTATTTTATATATATTTTTATTTTTACAGAATAAGTTAAATGCAGTACAGTACATTTTTCCAGGATGTATAAATATTTTACAAATATTTTATTTTTGCATTATAGTAATAAGAATACGGAGGTAAATTTTGTTTTATGCATATATATCCATACATGTATGTATGCAAAATGTATTTTTTTATATATATATTTTTAAATATATTTTCACACACACACACACACACACACATATATATATAATTTTGTCTGGTACTATCATGGTGTATATTCAAAAAAATTGTGGTTATATACAATACACCCCACCGTTCAAAAGTTTGGAGTCAGTAAGGTTTGTTTCTCAAACAAGTTAATATTTTTATTGAGTAAGGATACATTAAATTGAAAAGTGACAGTAAAGGCATTTATAATGTTACAAAAGATGGGGTGAAATAGGACCTGGATATGTTCTTGACAGATTCATTCTGATATGCTCTCAAATATTAGTTTTCGTCCCTACACTGTTTCCCCTTCAGCCGCCAATGTTTGATCTACCTGACACAGAAAGTTCATTTCTATCCCAGCAACTGCTCGGGTAGTTATGACAGTCTTTTCCTCATTTGGCAGAATACCGTGCTCCAGCTGTCAGCAGGGTTCACAGACGTCTGTTTCAACCCCCTCAGCTGCTAAACGCTACGAGAGACTGAGCGCATGAGTTAAAATTAGCTCTTAGTCGACACAGAGCTTCACGGGTCAGGACATAAAGGAGTGTGGGGTCTCTCCAGACGCTCTAAACTGTCTCTGCGTACTGTCTTTCCCTCATCCTGGATGTTGAATAGGCAAAAGAAGTGAGCCAGATTGATATCAACCAGATCTGGCTATCTCTGCCTCCCGTCTTATTGGTCATTCTTTCTCTCTCTCTCTCTCTCTCTCTTCTCGGTCATTCTGCTCGCTCAGACTTGGATTGAGGACAATACAGTTCTCACAGACAGCAGTGCTCGGACAGTCTCTGTAGAAACAGAAGACAACGTAAAGACCGGACCACAAGAAGGAGTGCATCTGTGATGCTTTATTCCAGGAACAGATGGACATTAAAGTGGACGTTTCTTTTGACAGGTTTTTGAAGTCTTCGCTGACTTTGACACTAAGTCATCTGTGAACGAATACCTGTAACTTGGGACCATATCAAAAAGGTATGTTGTGCACTTCTTAAAAAAAAAAAAGAAAAAAAAAGAATCGTCAATATAGGAATGGTTTGAACTCTTTTAAAGGAGGAACTGAGTGTTTTTTGTAAACCTGTTGCTATACTGTATATGTACATAGTTATTGGTTTATGTGTGTGTGTGTGTGTATATATATATATGTATTCAAACATATTAACAAACAATATAAACAATTATAATTTATAAATCGTATAAAATTAAAATATATATTAAATTGGATACATATATGCATTAATATATATATATATATATATATATATATATATATATA